TCAAATATGCATCAAATGGACACAAAATTTAATCCAAATTATGCTCCTCTGTTCACTGAGAAAATGGATATTTTTATTTTATTTTTGTGATTTTTCTACACTGAGATATGGATTTTTGAAGTTAAGGCTCATTTTCTGAATTTTTAATTCCCTATTTATCTATTTAAATGTGCGGCGCCACATCTTCCTAGGCAGCTCCAAAGCTTCACGCAGCGCGCTCCCGTTCGACTTTGTCATCCATTTCAGCGCTGACTCGACCCGCGGTTTATGTCTCGAAGCGCTGTCCGGCTTCATCTTGTTCGTCCATCTGATACACGCTTGATCGAATGGCACTCAGTCATCGTCTCCGATAGCCTAGCCCAAGAACCGTCCATCTTCCTAGCTTGATATATCCCTCTTTCTCAACCAAATTAAGTGAATTTTTTTTTAAAATGCTCGTCTAAACTAGAGGAACATATCCATATGGTTAAGATGCCATGAAATTAAGCCCAAGAAAGTGAAGAATCAAAAGAAGCTTGGGAGGAGAAGAAATTCAATACCTTGGCTCTGAGAAGGGAAGCTTCAATCAGAGATGATCGGTAAGTTTGTTGAGGTCCAAGGAGGCTAAGAATTGAGCCTCTTGCTATGGTGTAAGGTCTACGTATGAATTCGATCAAGCTTGATTTTAGGTGTTGGTCTAGAGCTATGTTAGGGGCTATTTCAGAGGGAAATTTGATGGGGCTTTGTATTCTCTCAGTGTTGTGAAGGTGTGGGCACAAGTAACTGAAGTTTGGTGAACTGTGGAAGTGTAATGAGCTCTGTCCTGATTTTTGGCAGAAAATTAAGCTCAAAATTGGGCTTCCACAGTGGGAATCAGTGGGGGAGAATGGTTGGATTGTACTGAGGAGGTCTCAAAGAAGCTCTGTAAGTGATTTGAGAGGTTCTCTCTAAGAAAATTTCAGCATCCCTCTCATGGCCATGGGGGGGAGCTTTTATAAAAATGGTTAAGGGGTGGCTGTCATGGCGAATTGAGGGGTGAAAAATAGTGCTTAGGTGGAGGGCAAAGAGGCTCTAACATCTTATTTGGGTGAGGTGACCTCTTGATTTGATTTGGGTGAAGTTCAAGAGGAGGTGGTCCTCAGTTTTGGCTTCTCTGACAACTAGGCCGGCCGGCCATGGCATGGGGAGCTGGCTAGGAGCTCGGGGAACCCAGGGTAATATCTCACAGAAATTTAATGGGCTAAGGTTCAGTTTTGGCAAAAAAATCTTAAGCCTAAGCATATTTAGAAAACATATCACTTAATTTAGGGGACCATTGGTCCATGGCTCACTTAGCTTGGGTTAGGTGAGTTTTGGCTCAGTCTTAGGGTCCAACTAATGGTTTTGGAGTCATTAATTTGACGGTTTTTGGGTGGTTAGGCTACATTTAGTGCATGGGTCCAAGTGGGTGCAAATGACAAAAAAATGGGTTTGGGCTAGGTTAGCCATGTCAATTGGCCCAATTAAGTGTTGCATTTAGTTTAGGTGATTGTAAGGAACAATTTTGGTGAAGGATGGAAAGGGTTTTGAGTTCAATTGGAGGGTTAATTTGAAGGATTTTACTGAATTGGTCAATTTGGGCATGTTGGGCTAGACTTGGGTCTAGATTGGGTTAGCCTTGGGCTAAGTCCAAATTGATTGTTGAAAATGGTCAATAGGAACTTCATAAAGAGTTTTCAACATAAATTGGGTGCCAATTTTGGGTTAAGGCAATCAATTTGGTGAGCAATCAATTTGGTGAAATTTGGCAATCAATTTGGTGAAATTTGGGGACAGTCAAGTTGGGGCAATTTTGGGGCTTTTTTGAATTTGGGTCAAAATTAAATGGAATTGAGGCTTCATCAAGACTAATTGATGGTCAAGTTTGATGTTTAGGAATGTTATAAAGAGTTTTCAACATAAATTATGGCCAATTGAGTGGGCTATGGGTTCAATTTGATGAGATTAAGTCATGTGACCAAAATTGGGGGTTTGGGTCAAATCAAAATTGGGCTCAAAGCATGGGCCAATTAGGCTTGGATTTGGTTTCTTTTGGTCATATGAAGGGTTATTTGAGTTTAGGATTAAAATTGGGGCAGATTGGGGTCAAATTGATGAACATTTGAGTTGAATTTAGGAAAATTTAGGCCTTTAAGGGCAATTTTGGGGATCTTAGTCAAAGATGGTCAAACTAGCCAAATTGGGTCATGTGATAGTTGAAAAAAATGAAATTAGGAGTATTTAAAATATTTTGATAATTTTTGGGATTTTTTGGAATTTTTTGGAATTTTGGACTAAGGAGGGGGGTTTTGGTAATTTGACAATTTTTTGGTAATTTTTGGTAATTTGGATGTTTTCAAAAGGTTTGAAATGATTTTTGATCAATTTTGGGTATTTTGGGTAAATTTGAGAATATTTGAGAATTTTGTCCGGGTAAATTTGAGAATTTTGTCCAAATTTAGGGTTTCAAGGGTATTTAGGTAATTTGGGGGTGTTCAGGGGAAAAAGCCCAAGCTGGGTATTTTTGGTAGAATTGGGAAGTTAACCACCATAAATGAGCCATGGACCAATGGAAACCTCATTTGGGACCTCTATGTATTGGCTTAGCTAAACCTTAGCCTAGGGCCAGTAGGTTTAGGGTACCACAGACCACATACATGAGTCTCCCAAAGGCTCAAGAGACTAAGGTTAGAAATTTAGGGTTTAGGGTTGTGAGTGAGTGTGAGTGTGGGTTGTGAGTGCTTTAGCTTTAGGCCAACACCCAGGGCCAACCCTAAGGTCAAACAGTCCTATGGGAACTCTCCTTGAGCTCCCCCACATTAACCCTACCTACTAAGTGCTAGAGGTTATGACCAATATGTAGAACTTCAAGTTGAGTAAAGAGGAGTTTAGAATTTCTAATGGTGAGGGTTCAATTTCTAGTTTTCTAAGAATAAATAATAGGAAAGTCCTATAGCTAGACCTTAGGCTATAAAAGAGGAAGACTATACCTCAACCAAAAATGAGGTCAACTGTTTGTTTTATGTTTAATTTTATTTTAATTAATTCAAGTTTAGGTTGTGATGTCATAATGGGTTATTTGGGTTATGTGAGCCATGTGTGTAGTGGTTGAACCATAAGGAATGGGCCATGGGAGATTGGCCATGGGCTCTCCCATTATATATTGGGTTTAAGATTAAGGTTGGTCTTCTGTAGTTAAGCTTAGCATTAGGTGTTTAGGTTCATGTCAGATTTAGGGTTAACTGGTTTTGGGAAAGCTTTTGGTGAGACCAAGGATTGACTTTGATGAATCACCCCTCCCCCTTTTGGTTTGAATTTGGTGTCATGGGATTTCCAAGCCAGTTTAGGGTAATGTGGTAAGAACCCCTCATTGGCCTAGACCTAGCCTCCTGTCTGATGGGCTTTTCCTAGGTCAATAAAAATCACAGGGATATTTAAAGGGTCATTAGGGAAAATATTAGGTTTTTGAGCTCCATGGGTAACCTAAGGTATCACCAACTACAGGGAGTTCACTTAGGCATTTACTGGGCTTGACCCTCAACCCTCTCAACCAAGGCTTAAGGATATGAGCTTAACCTCAGGAAACCTAATGTGAGTTTACAATTGGTTAGAAATTGTATATGGGTGAGTTCCATCTCTAGTCATCTAAGAAGGTCACAAAGAAACTCTAAGGCTAAATCCTAGGTTTCAATAGAGAGGAAAAGAAGCCCTCACAAAAGTGAGCTCAACAATATCCAATTATTCTTCTATAAACCTTAGAAAGTAAAATGCCTGAAGGTAGAAATCTGAAATCAGAAACTTAACAAGCAACATATTTATAATATGTAGATAGGAGAAAAGGGGGTAGTTCCTGCCCAATAGCTAGCTGGCCAACCCAACCTCTCTGTTAGACCAACCCCATATTGTTGAACCAACCAGTTTAGCCCATAAGCCAACTACAAAAATTAAGATTTTTTCCTTTGGCTAGATCAAACAAATTCAACGATAATTAATTTTTATCATCAAATTTTCTTCTGATTTCTGACCAATTTTTTTTATCGTTAAATCAGTGATCGGTGATAATAATTCCGTCAAATTTACGTCGAAATATGTTTTATCGTCGTATTAGCGTCGGATTATTTATTCAAAACTTGCGTTGAAATTTGCGTCTAGAAACATTGGATGATGACTAATAACGTTAGATTACTGTTAAACCAATGATGGAATTTTATTATCTATTTAGCATCGAATTTTGCGCCGAAAAAGAGGACAGAAATCTGACGCAAACCGGCAATTCATAAAAAAATGTAAAATATCAATTACATTTCTACAACCTACACAAAAAACACATTTCACATCACATGCTACATTAAGCTAGTCATATCATAGATCAAATCTCTAAGAAATATCATTAAAAAAATATTGTCACAAACCATCCAAAATAATAATAATAATAAAGTCAATTCAAAAAATTTCACATTTAATGTTCAACATAATGCTTACAAATAAAATAAAGCATAAAAATAAACTTCTTATCATCTCCATCCTGCTGTTGCTCCTCCTGAACGAATGTCTGATAATTAATGTTTATCATTGAATTTTCTTATGATTTCTGACCAATTATTTCCGTCATTAAATCAGTGATCGGTGATGATAATTGCGTCAAATTTACGTTGAAATATTTTTTATCGTCGTATTAGCGTCGGATTATTTATTTGAAACTTGCATCTGAAAATATTGGACGATTACTAATAACGTCAGATTACCGTTAAATATGCATCACAAAAAATCGACCAACGATGAAATTTTATTGTTAATTTAACATCGAATTTTGCGCCGAAAAAGAGGACACAAATCTGACGCAAACCTGCAATTCATAAAAAAATTCAAAATATTAATTACATTTCTACAACCTACACAAAAAACACATTCCACATCACATGCTACATTAAGCTAGTCATATCACATATCAAATCTCTAAACAATATCATTAAAAAAAATACCGTCACAAATCGTCCCAAAAAATAATAATAATAAAGTCAATCCAAAAAAATTCACATTTAATGTTCAACATAAAAATAAACTTCTTATCATCTACATCCTGCTCTTGATCCTCCTCCTACTGAACGAATGTCATCGAGCTCTTGCCCCGACTATCTCCAAAGGTCTCCATCATGTATGTTATAGAGCATTGATTTTATGTTAGTCTTCTAGCATCTACTCGTGCAACTGGCAAATCTCTTTGTCGTTCACTGCGGTCACCTGCCTGGCAAGAGTCTCATGGTCTGACTATGAGGATTTTGGGGAACTAAGAATGAGACCATGGGAGAGCTCAGCCTCGAAGGCTACCCTTCGCTCTAAGGCCATAAACCCACCCCTTCCTCCCCTCGGATTGTACAATCTCCTACATAAAGAAAACCAGTGATTAATTGACACTTCCAAAAGTTAAGAGTCAAAATAAATAAATTAGGGTTTTTAACTTACAACAACTGTCGTGAATGCTCTGAGACCCACTCCCCAGGTCGTCGATGAGTTCAAACATGCAACTCCGCAATGGAGGGAGCACGACTTAACTCATTGGCCTGTGTAGCGTACAAAAATGGTTAGCGCTAAAACACACCAAAAATTAAATTAACTTTTAAATATTTAAAATAATCTTACCAGCCTCATGTAGTGCTCCGACCAACTAGCATCGCGTAGGCCGGGAAATCCTTAAATTTGCACACAAGAGTCGCTCTCCGTTGAATATTTTGTTTCGTATTGATGGCATAAATAAGCACACCCGTCTCCCATAACATTTGAAACTCTTCAATCAATGGTTGTAAGTAGACGTTAATTTTTCCTTTTGGTCTATGTGGACCTGACATAATCAACGCCAAAAATAAGAACGACACGGTCATGCACATATCGGGGGGCAAAGTGTATGGGGTAATGATTACTGGCTAGCATGAGTATGGAATTGCAGCGTGACTGTACGAGGTGAAGCCATCTACACATAACCTATGTCTAACATTGTGTGCTTCATGATATTTTTTCGCATGCTTAATTTCATTTACTTTTTATATTTGTTGATGAATGAAATTACACTTTAAAGGAAAGTATTTTTATATTTTTGTTGCAGATATAATAGGAAAAGAAATTGGAGTGAACTGGAGCAAAATTGGTGTGAAACAAGGCAATTTGAGCAATGTTGAGTGTAGCATGAGGTGCCTAGGCATAAGAATATGACAAGGAAACAAAGAAGGTTGCATCCAACCACCACTTCCTGGCGCCTCGGCACCAGAAGCACACCAAAGAGATAGAGAGGAGGTGTGAAGGCGCTAAAACTACTGAAGCAATTTTTTTTGGAGTTATTTAGTGGTTCAAGACTATGGAAAGAGCAATTTTCAGTCATTTGGGGACTTGGGGATGAAGTTCCAAGGTCCGTAACTCCCCGAGGACTTCGGGAAATCGATATTAGGAGTAGGATTCTACTAATTTAGAGGGATTTGTAAGGGAATTTGAGAGCATTTGTAAAGGATTGTCTCAACAATTGCAAGAAGGAGTAGAGAACTTCAATGGAAGGATCTCAGAGAGATTAAAGCTAAGTGTTGTATGTTTGGATGAGATTGTAATCCAGTAAACACATATTGATTGAATTTGTTTTGCTAAGTAGTGATTATTTGAATGCCCTGTGATCCTCAAAACACATTTAGTTTAATTGCTTTGTTTCATTAAGTTTTCTATTGAATTTATCATGCATTGTGGGTAGAAACCCAGTGCTTTTTTGTGATGATTTGGTAGTAAGTGTAGAGTGTAGAAGTTTAAGAATAAATCTTAATTTTATATTTGATGAATGTTCTCCTCGACTTAATTTACATATTTTGTCGGCCATAAGATTTGTTAAAACTTGTTGTGACCCATTTGACTTGAACATGAGCGGTGGTGAATCAACATGACAATGCTCACACTGCTCATTTAACTATGAAACATAATAGTTAGCTCGTTGTGCAAAGTTATGGAGATAAGTAGTCTGAGAGGTTCATATTAGAGCTTTTTTGGGTGACAGGCAGGGCATATAGTTGTGGGGAGCCTATATGTGGCACCAATTGGCACTGTTGCCAAAAGGAAATAATTAGTTAGTGAACTAATTGTATCTAATACTCAGGAGAGGGTAGATAGACATATACTCCTTTTGTTAATGATTTATTTACAATCTTAAACTCCAAACCTACAACCTTCTTAATTATTCACAAGAGAAAAGTACTTTTTATCAATCTTAAATTTCATCTTATTCAATGCTTTAGATAAATTTTATCATAGAATTAAAATTGTGACTTAGGAGTAATGATAGCAAAATCACTTTTATCGACACTCCAAACTAGAACTTTATAGTAGTAGACTAGAACTTCACCTAAAGTGATTTCTTCCTCGGTTCCCTGTGGAATCGATACTCGGAACTCAAAAAAAGTCTTATATTACTTCAAAGATACGTGCACTTGCGTTAATACCTAGTGAATAATGTTTAACCATGGTAAATCTTGAGTTCTATAAATTTATAAAATATACTTTAAAATTATAATATCTAAACCCTAAATCACTAGGTACACCGTTGAGAAAGCGGCGATCAAGTTTTTGGCGCCGTTGTCGGGGAATCGCAAAGGTAGAACTTTTTTAGGGGAATTTTATTTGAATCTGTAAGACTTAGATTTGAAAATTGTAGTGTTTATATAAAGTGATTAGTATATTGTATGCCTTCGTTTTTAATAGAAAAGCTAAAATACCAAAAAAAAAAATTGCGTTAGGAATATGTCCTATTAATTAGATCTTTATTATTGAATTCATAGTTTAAGAGCTGCAGACCTTGAACCATATGACTTGGAAATAGAGACAACTGTTAAGAAGATTAGGAAACAACAAAGACTTCAAAAACTAATTGTAGAAATGGCGGATCAAAATCATGGAAACCCATGAATTGTAATGTTAATAAACCTTTGAGGGATTATGCGAACCTTATGGTCGATGAAATTCACTTAAGTATACAAAATCCCGTTGTAGAGGCAAATACTTTTGAACTTTAGCATGCAATTATTCAGATGGGGCAAAATAGTCAATTTGGAGGATCTTCATCTGAAGACCCTAACTTACATTTAGCAAATTCTTGAAATTTTGTGCCACATTTAGGTATAATGGTGTCTTTAATTCTACTGTTAAACTTAAACTTTTTTTCCTTTTCAACGAGGGATAAAGAAAAATTGTGGTGCAATTCATTAGCACCAAAATCTATCAGAAAATGTGGAGATTTAGCTCAAAAATTTCTTGCCAGGTATTTTCTACCATCCAAAACTGTTTTGTTGTGGAATGCTATCACATCGTTCAGTCAATATGACGGTGAATCAATTTATGAAGCTTCGAAACGATTTAAGAAACTTCTTAGGAAGTGTCCACGTCACGCACTACCAGATTGGCTTATTATACAAACCTTCTATAACATATTAGTTGTATCTTCAAGAGCGATTATAGATGCTATTGCAAGTGGGTTTCTTATGTCCAAACCTTATGAAGAGGTATATTCTCCCATTGACAAAATAGCCACTAATAACTTCCAATGGACATCTGAGAGTGTCAACCTTAAGAAAGCAGTTAATATTCATGAAAATGATGTACATACAATCCTAATGCCTTAAGTTGCAGCTATTGCACAGAAATTAGACCAGTACAGGATGAGTCAAAATTAAGGACTTCTTGTCGTTGAGGAAAACTCATTTGGACAACTGGTTGATACTAACTTTATTGGAACTATCCATGTGATTAACAATACTCAAAATAACTCATATTCAAATTATTATAATCCAGGTTTGAAGAATCATCCCAATTTTAGTACAATTCTGGAGGAGGAAACCAATCTTGGGGTAATAATCCAATTAATCCAACAATTAATTGCCATAACCAGGGCAATCCTAGCTTCAGCCCTTCTTATCCTCCTGGATTTAATGTTAACCCATAATTTAAGTAGAAAAAGTTATTGTTGTAAGCGGTTGTTATTCAATTGGGAAATCAGTTGCATAACCAAGGAACTGCACTTAAGAATATAGAAAACCAACTAGGGCAAATTGTTTCTAAACTTAGTAGTCATCCTCAAGGAATTCTTCATAGTAACACTGAGGTGAGCCCTAAGGAGAAGGGTCGTGTGCAAGGCAAACATGAATAAAAATTGTGTTTATCGGGCTGACGACGTTAAACCAAGCGTTGCGTAGGAGGTACCCCATGAGTATCTTTGTTGGTGTGATTATTAATGAGTGTGAATGACATGTGTATAATGGTTATGGAATGTTATGATTGATAGTGATCTTGGATAATTATGTGTATGAGTCAATAGTTGAGTTGTTGATATGTCATGAGCGATGTGAATTCCTAACTTCTCAACATTGCTAGACTTATATATGTTCCCTGACGTAGTTGGATTGACGAGTCCACTACAACTCAGTATTCAACCGAACTTGAGCTTTACGAGAGATGTGTTGAGTTTGGTCAAATGCCAGGTCCATCTCAATTTTGTTTCTTTCTTTGTCTGACCGTGTTTTTATTGAGTAGGTTCATGAACCTACTTGATAAGTAACATGAGGATGAGTAAATGTTACAAAGTTTATGGTACATGCATTAAGGGTTGAGGTAACGCCTGAAGTTGACAATACATGAGTCAATATAACAGGGATAATCTTGCCTGTGGGTTTAACCCTATAAAATTTGTACAAGTGCCTAATTTTTTAGTGTTCTAATTTTGTTAGAAATTGAAAGTAAGTTTGGGAGATGCGATGAGTTTTAGGAAGAATTGACCTCAATTATCTTGTGCGTGTGTGAATGTGTTACTGGAGTGATTTAGGACTTTGGGGAGATTAAAATGTTCATTTTAGGTTGACCCAAACTAAAATCAAAGCAAGTAGGAAGTTGTGGTCTTTTTTAATGTTACTTGGAAGTTGATATATTATCATTTGGTTGAGTTAAAATAATATTTGTTACTATTCATTCATGTTGTAATATTTAGGACAAATGTTGTTAGTATTTTTATTACTGCTATGATGTTATATGCACTTTAATAAAACTTTTTTTTTAGTTTAGATTTTATTCTAACATGTATATGTTAGATTTACTTTTTGTTACATAGTAATCTATCTTAAGTAATCTGTGAAAAATATTTACGATAGACGCTTGTGTTAGATTGTACTTCTGAGATGTATTTTTTCTTCCTACTTATATTTCTTATTCTTAATACCATATATGCTAAAAATTAAGCTTGGGGGGGGGGGGGGGGGCGGGGGGGTGTTTTTTTACTC